TGGCTGGCTGGATAGCTAGATGGAAGGATGACTGGCTGTATGGTGGATAGCGGGATGGCTGAAGGGATGAATAGGTGGATGGATGGCTAGTTGGACGGAATGATGGCTAGCTGGATGGATAGTTTTATCGATGAAGGATGACAGCAACGATGATTGATGGGCTAGCTGAAAGCATGTCTTGATGGATGGATGCAGGATGGAGGAAGATCTAGATGGATGCATGGCTAGATCGACGATGATTGGCTGGATGGATGACTGGCTGAACGTGTGGATTGAGTGCGGAACGGATTGTCGGATAAATGATGGCTGGAAGAGATGGACGGATCGTGGGTTGATAGATTGATGGTAGGATTGATAGATGCATCGTTTGTTCACTGGATGCATGGAAAGCAGTATGGATGGATGACTGCATGGGTAGAACGATGGAGAGCTTAATGAATGGATGGTTTGATGGATGATTGGATTGACGAACGGATGACTAGATAGAAGGCAGGGAGAATTTATGGACCAACCGATGGCTAGCTGGATGGTTGCTTGATGGGTGAAAAAAGGTATGACAGACAAACAAAGATAGAAAGATAGATTCCGAAAAAAAATCAACTTTCAAAAAGAATTAATCAATATTATTTGCACCATGTCCACTTTCGTAATTGAAGAGCGTACAGCGAGAAAACAGAAAACATTTCGCATTTTTCAAACAATCGCTTTAACAGATTGATGATCAATTTGGTGAGAATTTTCGAACGAAAATGATGAGAGACTTAGCTCCTGAAACCAATCATTATTGCAAACTTTCACCTTCTTCAATCGTAATTTCTAGAAAAAAACATTGCCAACAGACAATTGGAAAGGAGTCAATGAAAGCAAGTAAACAGACTAAAAAATCTGGTTCGTTTTATAAAAAATTCGAATTTTTCTCTTTCAAAAAACAAAAATAGACGGCCTCAAATTTGACACTTTTCTGATATAACTGACCCAACTCAGAAAACTGGATCAACAGTCAAATTTTCTATTTCGCTGGGAAATCTGATAACTAAACCGACTTTTAAATTAGAATTCAATCACATTTTGAATTACCTTGACTACTTTGCAAATCTATAGAGAACCTGCTTTCATTTTAACAAAGCAAATGCATTGAAATTTGAAAGAAAAAATAATTAAAGATTAAAACCACTAAAAAATAAACTTGAGCTTGAGAAAAACTTAGGTCATTTCTTGAAAAAAAAAAAGAAAAATTGTCGCTACCTATGTAAGAGCCTGAATTACGTCCCTGCACACAATTTAGAACTTTCACACAATTTTTTAAATTTTTTTAAATTTAGAAATTGTTTTCTTTAATAAGTGCGATAGGAACATTCTGTGCTACTTGCACAGCAACTGGCTATGTTTATTTGAAGATTTACAATGAGAGAACCTTTTAACTACACTGCGCTGTCCTACTCTTCCCGTCCGATCCTGGCATCATAGCTCAAACCTTTCAGTCGGACCTTTCAATTGTCCAAGCTTTCATAAACTGGAAAACCAAAAAAGCATTGCTTAAGCGTTGCAATTTGCTAAAAAATTTGAACATGCAAAAAATCTTTAGTTTAACATGCAAAAACGAATGCGCTCAAATATGGCGAGATTCGTGTCACATAAATTTAAAAAAGAATAGAAGGATAGACATAGAAAGATAGATTCCCAACAGTAAAATCCGCTTCCAGAACATATATTCAGTTTTTAAAGCACCATGTCCACTTTCGTAACTAGAATACGTAACGCTCGAAAACAAAAACATTTCGCGTTTCTTAAACAATCGCTACAACACATTGATGATCAATTTGGTCGGAAAATGCGAACAACTGATGAGAGACTTAGCAATTAAAACCAATCATTATGGCAAACTTTCACCTTTTTCAACCATCATTTCTAAAACAAAAAACATTTCTAACAGACAGTTGGAAAAGAGCCAATAAAAGCGAGCAAATAGAATTAATAGCTTACTTGTTTTTTAAAAAAATCTAAATTTTTGGTTTTCAAAGAAAAAATAGATGGCCTCAAGGTTGACACTTTTGATAAAATTAACCCAACTCAGAAAACTGGATCAATCGGTAATTTTTTTTCGCTGAGAAATCTGATAACTAGAGTCCATTTTCCAAACTAAAGTCGATCACATTTTTCTTGAACTTCACTTTTTCGCTGCTCCATATAGAGCTGGCGTTCCTTTTAACAAAGGAAACAAACTGAACTTTAAAAAAGAGTCAAACCGCGAAAATGTAAATTTGAGCCTGGAACAATTTTAAGGTTCTTCCTGAAAAAGAAAAGAAAAAAAATTGCGACATATACGTTCATGGACACTTAAACGCGCAACTTTTTCCGATTTTAAACATTCTGAGCTTCTTGCACAGCAACTGACTATCTATTCTTGTTTAACGATATAGAGAAACTGTATAGTAGCGAAATCACTTTTGTATCAAATTGACATGGTTGATATGCGTTGAAATAATCCTGTCGTAGCTGGTAGGGCATCCACCCTCCAGTGGGCTCATTCTTTCATTTAATTTACGCATAGTTTCTCTGCTCTCTTGGATCATTTAATTAGCTCGTTGAGTCGTATTCAGTGCTCTTTGAGGTTCACTTTCAAAGTCAGCTGAACTCGTGCTTGAATCCAGAGGAGATTCTTTCTGAGGGACTTTTTCTTCGCTACTACTCGAAATTTCAAACAAAATACCCGTGTTTGTGCAAGTTTGTCTCCGACTGAACAGATCTTTATTTAACTTAAGTTGTTCCAATGGTCGAGAAATGAAAACATAGCCAACTAATATTTGGAAAACAGTAATGGACGCAACTAAACAGAAAAAAAACTGACTTTGAAAAAAACCACAGCTTTCAAAATGTGAAGAAAAAAATAAGACCCTTTAAGTTCTTTGATTTTCTAGAACAATTTATGATTGGTGCTTTTTTGATAACACAACCAATTGAGAACACTGTATCAAAAATTAACGTTTTTATTCCGCTGAAAATCTAAAAATTAATTTCTTTTTTTCGAAACTAGAAATCGTTCACGTTTTTTCGCGCCATTTCAACCTTCGTATTTGGAGAGGGCGTTTTACGTAACTTTCAGTAGACGAATTTCAATTAAATTCAAAAATTGCATCTACACTTAAGTGCAATCATAAATGCATCAATATGTATGAATGCACATCTGTAGTTATTAGAGCATTTTAAGAATTATTCCTGAAAAAAATCACCACGACCAATATAAGAGCCTTCACTACGTTCATTACTGTAATTAAACTGTTCCATTAAACAGTGCGACTAAAAAAATAAATTTACATCTTATGTTAGATAACATAGAAAGTTCTTTCTATAAACCAGTCATTTTGATGGAAATTAATAAGACTGATTACGGTTTATCATAATATTTTCGAGCATCTATAACTTTTCTGGTTTGAATACTTCTATTTCATCGTATATGCATTATTCGCGACAGTCATCCACGAGCATGTCAGATTGTGTATCATAAGTGCAACACTAGCGAGAACACGACAAAAAGCAGCTTTATAAAAAACAATAAGAGAAAAAATGACCCTTAAAATAGCAAAAATTAGGCTCCGTCTTAGATTCGAACCTGCCACATTGAGATTAAGAGTCACACACACACACACACACTAACCACTCAGAAACGGAAGCTTATTAGAACGTAGAAGATTGCAGATTAAACACTAGACACAAATAAAGCAGATAACAGATGCTACGCAATTTCCAATGCTACAGTGAAACCTCCAAATAAGTGAACACTTTTATTTGCGAGTTAAGTTAGAAAAAAGAAGGTTCATAAAAACACACTAAACTGACGCTGGTCTAATAAAACAATAAATTATAGTCCATTTCAATCCAATTGTGTTGACTGAGGGCGACACGGGAAACTTTTATATTAATAATATTTTAGACGTCAAAAATCCATCAAAATTGATTTTGTTTTCCTTTTGTTAGATTCGGAAAAGTCGATCCCTTTTTTCGCTTCACTTAAAGTTTTGTTATCTGCGAAAAATTTAAATTGCACGTTAAAGTTTTTGAGACACTAAATACTTGCTTTTTAAGCATTTCATTTTTGACATATTCGTTCCAGTTATGAAGCCACAAGATCTGGAAATAACCCACGGAAGTGTTATAAGCATAAACGCATCAATGAGCAATTTTATCAACTTTTAGCAAGTTTCGTGCATTTTCATTTCACGCCCAGGTGGAAATTCTTCACTTCTGATCTTTAGTTGAAAAAGGTCAATGTTCATCAGTGACTCAACAGCAGTAAAAGGGGGCGTAGCGATTAGCACGTGAGGCTATAAGCATGCGATAATTGCTTCAAATAGGTATGGTGCATTCAGATGAAAAACTATTTAGCCTAATTTTTGAAACTTGTTCGAAAACCTATTTTGTTAGGGAAATAAAACTTTCACTCTCGCCTAATTAAAACTCTGGCTGAGACTACGCTGCTAAAAATTTCAAACTTGAGGAAACAAACTTTGAATTATCGAGTTTTCAATCTTCATTCTTTTACATGTGCATGCTAATCGACACACAGGCTAATAGGCCGGTCCCCGCAGTAGATTGTTTTGATTATGCTTGGCAACGAAAAAACGTTGATTTGTCAATGCGCTGCAAGTACTCCGGCGCGCTTGAACATTAATTGTTTTCGGTAGTAGCGTGCTCGGGGCAGGGGTAGGGTGGTTCAATTATGTCGTTTGAGTTTAAATTCAGCTGCGCAAAAAAAAAACACTTTTAGACTGAATCTCAGAACGTCTGTTGTTTTTTCCTTCAACATATTGGCATTTTCAATTAAATAGCGAATACAAATTTCAACATACAAGATTATCTAAGTACAGTCTATTCACAATTCGAATATTTGTATCAAAGCAACAAACTGTAGCGACCAGTTGACTGTCATCAAAAACCAATGACAAAGTCTAGTTACCTTAGGCTAAGTCGTATCTCAGCATCCTTCATTTTGGAACTTAAATACAATTAATGACCAGAATAGTCGCAAAATTTGTTAGCAACTATCACAGTTTGCAGTGATTTTTGTGAAGAAAGATCGAGCACATCAAAAATTGTTTGAATGAATCAAAACTTTGTCAGGTGGTAGAAAAACGTTTGCCGCTGAAATATTTGTGCCTTTTGTGGATATTCAACCGAAATTACATCATTTTAAAGTAGTTTAAAAGTTTAAGACTCACGGTCAAAAAGTTTATCGTCGTGCAATAATCTGAAATTATGCTTCAATACTGTTTCACAACTGCTATAATTTGCAATACAATTTGCAAAATTGAAGCCTGTCGTATTGCACTATTTTGTAATAGAGTTCGGAAATATTTCTATCAATTTTCATTGAATATCAATCGTTCGGTCGTTCTCTAAATCGTAAACAAGCTGTTCTATTTTTCCTATTTTACCAAGAGATTCTTCGCTGAATCTTCGCACCAACTCCAAAGCATCAAAAGTTTCATATTGGAATCGTTTCAAGTCACTGTAAACACTCAACAATCCTGCAATGTATTCGTATGCACTATCTTTTTTGCTGAAGTCCTCAAAAAATATCAATTCTGGGTGATTTTCAGCCTCTTTGAAGAATATTTCGAGCAAGTGAGAACTTGCTTCTATGTCAACATTCGAATCATTCAGATCTGTTTCAGAATTTAATTCCCAGAGTGATTTCACTTGTAAAGTTGAAATAACAAACATGTAAATAACAACACCTTTAATAGCGTTCAGCCTAGTTGACCAAAATCGTTTTTCATTCGTTATGTGTTGATATTCGCCGGTAGTTTTGGAAACCGTGCATTCTTTTCTGTAAGGCATGTCTAAGCTTCGAACCAATTCTTCGTCGAATATTTCGTTTGCCAACATAAATCTCGCTTTCTCAAATCGAATTTGCTCTGCGCATGGAATTCTGTATCCAAATTTGTTTTCTAAAAACTGGAACATTTTGAAAACGAATTCGCGATTGTTTTTCACTTTATAAATATGAGTCAAAATACAGGAAAACAATCTTTTGTGTTCTGTGATTCCCAGAGACTTCAGGTTTTTTTGAGGTCTGAAAACGTGTGTTTTCTGACTGCCAGTTATAAAAATTGTCATTTGCAGAAACAATTCGGGATCTTCAGAATCGCATACGTGACTCCACAAAACTTCGCTGTCTTTTGAAAGGTTTTGGAGGAATCCGGAACTTTCTTGGTCCACGGGAAAAGAACCAAGGAGTTCGTACTCTTCACAAAAAGCGCGTGGAGGAGTCACTCGCTCGCAGTAGAGTCCGATCAAGTCTGCTTCCCCACAGTAAAATTGCTCATCCTAAGAAGTTAAACAAAAAAACACATAAGTCAAAATAAATAAACTTCAATACTTCAAATTTTGAAAGAAAAGCACTGTTTCAGAACACTGATTAATGCAAAAAAAAGAAAAAGCTTAAAATTTACTTTCTAACTATGAAACACAATTGTAAGATTTCGTATCTGATAACACATACCACGACTAAAAAAAACACATCAGATTTGTACCACAGTTAGAGGGAAATAACTTACAGCTCCAGTTACGAGATCAATAAAGTCAATGACCTCGTCATCGTCACTTATTTGTCATGAACTTGTGCCTCTGCAATTTTCCCTTCGGCTATTGACCCGCTGAAACCCATTTTGTGGCTTTCAATCTGATTTTCAAAATTTTCAAAGCCCATAGTTCCTCCTTGGATTCCCTGATGGTCATTGTCTGGATAGTTAGTCTGAAACCCATTGCCGTAAGCAGTTTCGGTTTCGAATCCATTGTTGCCATTAAATAATCCATCAATCTGTTCGTCCTCATCGTCAAAAAAATCATCTACGCTTCTGCCTTGAGAAATCTTATTTTCAATTTCGCTTCTGTTTTCTTTAGCTACTTTCTGGTTTTCTTCGAGTAGATTTCTTTGGGAATTGATTTCATTTATCTTGCTTTTGGATTTGATTGAATCTTCGTTGCGGTTTTCTCGAACCTCAGACGATCCTAGAGCAATTTTCTTTTTCGGTGACAGCTGAGCGTTTTTTGCTTCCAAGTAGGCTGCCTCATCAAAATACACAAGTGGACATTCGTTTGCTTTGTACTCTTTGCGAAAATTGGGATATGGGATTAAGTTGTAGTCTTTAGTCGAGTGGTTCTCGTTGTCGGAGTTTGGCGGAAAAACGCACCAGCTTGGCTTAAACATGGGAGTCGAGATAAATGGACAGCAGACTACTAAACAAAACAAAAGAAGCTGACTGCTACGCAATTAGTTGAATTGTATTTAAAAAAGCTTTAGTTTTGTAGTAAATGTAACGCCGGTTTGTTAATTTTTTCAAGGGAGGTTGGTTTTGCATGCAATTCAGTTTTTCCCCAAACACACTTTCAGTCGTGATTTAAGCTGCAAAAAAAATCGAACAATTCTTGTTCGCGAAAATCAGACCAATTTAGAGTGCAAGTCGCTTCATAATTAGTTTACCTGCAAATTTAGATTATTTAAGTTGTTTTAACGGCCTGGCGGAAGAGAAACTTCAGGCTTTAAAAGGCAGACGGAGGAGTATGCATACAATTTAAGCCGCTTAGTAATCAAAATAACTTGAATATATCAACATCCTAAAATCTAGTCCTATTGATCATCATGAAAAAAAGACAGAAACATAGTTCTCCATATCAACACCTCTAAATATTATGACAGGTAAAAGATTCAGAAAGCCTTAAAGTGGTCGACTCGATATACAGCATCTGCTGCCTGCAAATGACACAACTTCAACTTCCCGACAACAGGGAGCGCCGACTGCGCGTAAATCCCGGGTTTTTGGGTTCGGAGCATCTGAAGACGGCCAGGTTGCTCCGTCTACTAATTTTCATTGTCCTCCTCAGTTCCCGTATTAATCCCAACCAGCTGCCTAAACTTATTTATCTTGTAACAAAGCCACTAATCGAACTCAACCTAAGGTGTCAAGGCACATATGCGGGTGGATCCACTTTAAATGCAGTGGACTCACGTGTCTCAAAGACCATCATCGATTCTACTGCTCACACTGCTCCAACCACTATATAATTTCTCTCCCCGTTACTGAAAGAACTAACCCCTTAGGTAGTAATATGAACTGTCATTACTAATCCACCAACAAAACTAACAACACACCAACTGACCCACACATAGATCCCACCTTAAACGCTCCCTAGTTTTTTAACTCGAACCTTAGGACACAACAGCAACATTTGAAACTCTTTTAACCCCATGATTTCATGGAATGCCGTCAACTCTCTTAGCCCCGTTAACTTGAAATTTCAAATCTTTTGATCATTTACAAATCAATTGCAATAGTATCTCAGGCAAAGAAAAAATCCATCTCGCAGTGTTCCAAGACACCGATTTGAAAACAAGCAGCCGAAAGCCACAAACTAGACCCTACTATACTTTACTCAGAAAATATTGCAGAAAATAATGAGGGTGCCGGCCAGCTCATCGCTGTATATAACTCACTTGTGTACAAGGAGTTAGAAGGCTCCTAGTAATAAAGTCAAGGTCAGAAACCACAACCTACAAAACTCGAACGTCTACATCCCTCCGCGCAGCAGCTGCCTAAGAGACTATAAAATTTCCATTAACCAATTCCTCGGAGAAGACAATAGTTTAATGCTGGAACGTAAATCCTCATTACCTAATGTGGAATTCAAACATTACGGAAGAAGCTAGAGGTAGCGCAATAACCAATGAAATCGTAAGCTCCTTTTCACTCCAATCAACAAATTTGACCAAAATACGATCCAGTATGATAGCTCAACATCACCAACGTCGCCATATCTATCACTTTGATCTTTATCTTTACTACTGTCGATAAGCTAGCAACCTCAATTAAAATTAGGATCTGATTATCTGCCTATTTTAGCTCAACTTCTTTTGAGCAATGAAAACACTTTCTTTAAGGAAACAAACTTACATCAAATTTAGTTAAAACCGATTGACGGAGTTTTAGTGATGAAATCGAACAGGCATTATAAGATGGAATTATCAGTGAAAAAATTACCAGACACGATTTCAGCGGCTGCTCGTCACCATAACCCCATCGGGTGTCACCATTTCTTTGTACTTGCTCTCCCAAAGGAACACAAATCCTTGGCATGGAAAACAACCAGAATCGGCTTGATTATCCTTTTAAATCGAAACTTAGTGTTAGACATAGAAAATCAAAAATTAGCCGCAAAGAAAGAAAAAAATCACCACGCAGCATCCAGTAAGTTTTGGCAAAGAGTTCGCTCTCTCAACGGAGCGAAGTCTGTAGTAGTTAACCACCTTGATTATTTTAAAAGAAGAACTTTCTAAAGCAAAAAAAATCGCTAACGCAGTCAACGTACAATACACCCAACTTAGAAAACACGAATCAAGCAAGGGACAATGGCTGAATAAACGAAAAACCACCTAAGTCTCAAAAAGCAACATTTCATCGTTTGTCTGCTATCGTACGTTTCTGAAGCTTCTCCACATTTCCAACGTACCCGAAGGCATTGTCAGGCAGACTTCAAAATGCCTTAGCTTTTTTTAAGAAATCATAAATCGACAACCAGGTTTGTCTGAACCGGAGTTCCTCGAGGTTCAGTTTTATCACCTACATTTTTTAAACTTTACATGAATGATGCTCCTCTACGGTCTCCAATAAAACTTCATCCATGCGCATACAGTATCTAGCCCTATGTCCAATCCACTGACGTTGTAAAAGCATACGGTGTTTTAAGCAACTTTCTAATCAATTTTAAGTGTTCTCGTCTCCGAAAAATTAAGTGAGTTTATTTAGTTCCCACTGAAAATAGTTTAGCTGAAAACCCATTATAATTATTGGATTTAACCCGTTATAATTAAAGAATTCCTCTGTTTTTCCAGTCGTGAAAAACCAAAAATACTTGGTGTATTTTTTTATCACTCACTTATTTTCGAGGAATAATGCAAGCAAAGCTCCATGACAGCCGCGTGCAGAAAATCGATTTTGAAAGTTCTTTCCGGTACAACCTGAGGTCATTCAAAAGAAACGTTGCTTGGGCGTACAAGACTCTAATTAGACCAATACTAGACTACTAATGCCCCGTTTGTTCGCACGCCGCAAGCGATTGCTCCCTGAACAGACTAAAAATCCTTCAAAACGCAACCTCTCCGCGTCGTGACAGGGTAATCGAGCATGAGCTTCATCGACTACCTCCATGCTGAACGTAACTTACTAACGGCGCCTCGACACTATAATGGGTTATCCTCCCCAGTTTTACCTGAAACCATACTTCGACTTTCAACCCTTGCATTTTCTCCACAGGTTCCCCCTTCCCTGCTCGAATTCTCAAACCGACTTTTAAATCATTTTTTGAAGACTAACTCGTCAAAACTTTTTCCGAAAGCAACGAGTTTAAATCTTTTGATGATAACAGCGATAGAAGTAAGAATAGTTTTTAACGTTTTAAACAACTAAAGTACATTCATAGAAAACATAACTTAACCATCCAAGATGCTCCCATCCCCAAACTGTGCCCTCTGGGAATTTCCTCGATCAAGCAACTGCTCACTCGATCAACACGGAGCATTTTAGCACAGCTAAGATCTCGGTACAGCCACTTTTTAGATGACTTACTGAATTAGAAATGACACTAATGTCGCCCAAACTGCGCTCACTGTCCTGCTCACCACGCTACCATTCATTTGTCAACTGCCTTAAAAACCAGACAGAACTCACCCCAAAAGTCCAGTGGCTCTGGTCAGCTAAAGAAGCAAAATTTCTTAAAGTCGGACAAAGTTCAATTGAAGCGCCTCCTACAAAAACAACAATGTGACAGGTGAATATATTTGCTCTCAATGTGTCCTTTGTTCTCGACAAAAATCAAACTAGTGTCCCAAATATCAAACTAGCTGGATGTACATTTTTGCTTTTTTTTAAATAGGAGGTACTGGTTCAAAATTTCAAAAACTAGACTTGACCCGACAGCTTTGTGGTTTCTCTACCAAATTAAGAAACTGGTGGCTAGTGTAGTGAGCACGTCAATATCAATTTTGGCAGGTTAGTTTTCAATAAACGTGAAAAACATACCAAAAAACGGTTAAAGTGCAAAAAAAACCTTTTCTGAGGTCATACAGGGTTCACTTTTCCACCTTGATCTTTCAAGTGAAGCATTCATTTGATAATTGGCGGTAAAAATTTTGAGAAAGAAAAAGCTTCCAAAAACAATCAAAATCTCAAACTTGTTTTCTCGAATGATCTGAATCTCAAATTTGGCAGCGTAGTTTTCGAGAAGAATGAAAATCTGAAATTGGAATTTTCAGAAAAACATTACTGTTTTTCTACACAAATTGAAGAGTCTCCGCTTAGGCAGGAAAATTAACGCTACCTGTTCCTTCGATTGAACCCTGATTCTCAGATTTGACTGCAATGAATTGTTGAGAAAAGTCAAAAAGTTTCCAAGAACTGTCCCAAAAGTAAACCAAATTGTTTTCTCTGAAGATAACTCCGTTCTACAAAAAAAGGCAATACATGCTCATGCAGCGAAAAAAACTCGCTACTTATTATTTCGATTAAACCATTAATCTCAGAGTTGGCGGGGTAGTTTTTGAGAAAGATCAAAGTTTTCAAAAATGGGTCGAAGTTTCAAAAATTTGACTTTCACAAGGGCTTTAATTTTTTTCGGAACACATAGGGCGAGAAAAGTCAGAAAGTTGCAAAAAAACGGCCCAATACTTGTCTCTTTCGATAGCCACACTGTTTTCTTGAGAACTAGTGCGTAGCTGCATACACAGACAGGATCTCCAAAACCTTTTCCTTCTATTACACTTTGATCTCATATTGGGAATGTATTTTTTGAGAAAAGACGAAAAGTTTCACAAAAATGGTAAGAATGAGAAAAAAATTGAGATGATAACTTTTTTCCATTAAATTTCAAGCAAAGCCGGTTATGCAGTGAAGATACACACAATCAGTTCTTTTCATTAAAATAATAATCCCAATTTTGGCAGGGTAGTTTTCGGAGAAACAAAGGCTTTTATAAAACTACCAAAAAGCCAAAGGGCCTTTTCTGAGGCCATAACTTCTTCTTTAAAATTTAAGGCGTAGTGGCTTATGATTGTTTTTATGCAGCAGGAACTTTGATTTGTTGAGCATAGAGGCAAAACTGAGCTTCGCACTACTTGCGATACAACAATTATAGAAAGAGTCCACCATGACGCTAAGCAAATTAGCAAACAGAACTACGAACAATGTTACTTTTGAAGAAGGCGGTGAAAAAACGATCAAAAAAGTTTTAAAAAAAAGTATTTTTTCGCGTTTGAACTTATTTAAAATTTTCAAAGAGGTCCTACAGGGGTTGAATTTTAATCGGCAAAGAAGCCGACAGAATTGAAGCCGACATCCAATAAACTGAAATTGAAGCTGGAAGTACTTGTTTGATATTTTCTATGAATACGTACTGATGCAAAAACGGGCAATATAGGAAATTTAAACAAGCAAAAATTGAACAATTCACAAGTTGATGGCTTACCTTCAAAAAAAAGCAATAGGTCGAAAAATTAATACTTTGAAAATTACTGAAATAACAAATTCTTATAAGTCAAAAGGTTGTTAAATGATTTAACGTGATACGTCTCTCGGCATCATCTTAATGGGCATCTTTTTTCAAATTTTAATGGACATGAAGTTCAAAACTTTGCTAACTCAGTTACTGACCGGAAAGAAAATACGGAAGGAAAATCACCTTGAGAAAAGTGACAACGGGGGGAGGGGGCAAATGATCACTCTTTAGCACCAATTAATTAAGACCATTTATCCACGGGGGAAAGGAACAACACAAGAGCTGTACAGCTCATCGCGGCGAACCGCTGTTGTGCCCCTGTTTAAGAACTACATGCATTTTTTTTTGGTTTGGGCTGGGTAATGTTGCTTCACCCTCAAGCAACGAGCACGGATCATGGTGGGCCTCGAACATCCGACATTTCGATTGAGAGGCGGAGACGTAACCATTTCACCACCAAATTGACCAGCCGTTACCAGGCAAAAATGAATCCGCTCTAACTTAACGATTCAGGATCATGTGGCTAAAATGACACAGAAACAATTTTGAACTAAAATTGTCACATCAAATAATTTTTTTGACTCCGATTGGAAAAAAACGAACATGTGTTGTAACAAGCATTGCTTGTCAAAGCAAAATTTGTCACTGAATTCTAGCTTCTAAAACTGATAGCGCATGTAAAAGAGGTGTTTGAGGAATACAAACACTACCGAGTACAATTCTGTTTTCTGTTATAAAAACCGAGTTTTGGGTCGTAATTAGTGTAATATATAAAAAATGACTACTAGTTGCTCTAAATTCTTCTGAAAAGACGAAATATTCACAACGTTTTATGTTTCAGAAATGCGTAAAAACAAATTTACTAAAACAGTTCGAATCACTACTGAAAGGCTTTGAACGTCATATATAAATCACCACTAACAGACTATAATGCGTGTTGTCTGATTCTGTGAGCAAAACAAAACATATGAATCTAGTGATCGAAAAAACGTTAGGTTTATCCTATGCAACAATATAGAAAAACCTATTTGAAGTTGGGAAAGATCTTCGATTTTTTACATTTGCTTAAGGTTTGTTTTCAGAGACTGTTGAAAATTTTAAAATAGCAAAGACCTTTGGGGGCTATTCTCATGCGCAAAGGACCGAATGGGCGAAAAACTCGAGGGCGAAGGACCGAAAAAAAATTAGCCGAAAGTCAATTTTTAAAAAGAATCAAATGCCATTCAATTAAAATGAACTAGCGTGTAATGCACCACCGATGCTTCGAACTTTTGACAACTCAGGAAAAACAGAATATAGTAGAAACCAGATCTACAGGCTTTTAGTGTACTCTGACAGCACCCAATTACATGGTTAGGAATTTCAAATTTTGAAGAAAAAAATTTCGTTAAGTTTTCTGAAATTTATTCGAAAAATCACAGAAGTCATATCTCGAAAATAACTAGAAGCCGAGCAGTCATATTTGTAGGCAAGATTCGCAATCCCTGAGAGTACCCTGAAATCATACAACTACAGGGTAAGGCATTTCAAATTTGAAAACAAAATAATTTAAATTTTTTGAAATTTTTTTTGAAAAAATCACAAAAAACGTCATTTCTCGAAAACTACAAAAAATTGAGTACTCATAACTGGAGGCAAGGTTCGCAACCCCTGAGAGTACTCTAATAGCGCCCAATTGCAGGGTTGGTAATTTCAAACTTTAAAAAAAATGTTAAGTTTTCTGAAATTTTTTTGAAAAATCGCAAAAACGTCATATCTCGAAAACAGGGATTTGAGCAGTCAAATTTGAAGGCAAGATTCGCAACTCCTGAGAGTACCCTGACAACACCAAACTACAAGGTTGAGAATTTCAAATTTTGAAGATAAAATGTTGCTTAAATTTATGAATTTTTTTTGAAAAAATCACAAAAAACGTGATTCACAAAAACGTCATTTCTCGAAAACTACAAAAATTTGAGCAGTCATAAATAGAGGCAAGGTTCGCAACCCCTGAGAGTACTCTAATAGCCCCCAATTGCAGGGTTGGTAATTTCAAATTTTGAAGAAAAAAAATCGTTAAGTTTTCTGATCTCGAAAACAGGGATTTGAGGAGTCAAATTTGAAGGCAAAGTTCGCAACTCCTGAGAGTACCATAACTACACCCAACTAAGGGTAAAGATTTTCAAATTTGAAAACATAATAATTTGAGTTTTTGAAAAATTTTGGAAAAATCACAAAAACGTCTATCTCGAAAACTGCAAAAATTTGAGCAGTCAAAACTGGAGGTAAGATTCGCAAGGTTCACAACCCCTGAGAGTACTCTGATAGCCCCCAATTACAGGGTTGGGAATTTCAAATTTTGAAAAAAAAACATTCGTTAATTTTTCTGAAATTTTTTTGAAAAATCACAAAAAACGTCATATCTCGAAAACTACAAGGATTTGAGCATTCATATTTAGAGGCAAGATTCGAAACTCCTGAGAGTACCCTGAAAACACCCAACTATAGGTTACGGAAATAAAAATATTAAAAAAACAAAGATAACTTAATTTTTTTATAATTTTTTGCAAAAAGTCACAAAAAACATCATATCTCGGAAACTACAGGAATTGAGCAGCCATAACTGGAGGCAAGGTTCGCAACCCCCTGAAAGAATTCTGATATCCCCCAACTACAAAGTTGAGAATTTCAAATTTTGAAGATAAAATTTTGCTTAAATTTTCTGAATTTTTTTTTTGAAAAAGCACAAAAAACGTCATATCTCTAAAACTACAAGGATTTGAGCATTCATAATTGGAGTCAAGGTTCGCAACCCCCGAGAGTACCCTGACAGCACCCAACTGCAGGGTATTTCAAATTTTGAAAATAAAAACTAATTCAAATTTTTGAAAAAATTAAAAAACGCATAAAAGGATTTGAGCAGTCATAATTGGATGCAGGTGATATAAAAAAAGATAGAAAAGACGAAAGATAGAAAAAAAAACAGATAAAAGGAGAAAGATAAGGAGAACAAAAAGATAGAAGAAAAGATAGAAAAAAAAGACAGAAAAGACCGAAAAAGAAGGCTCGAAAAAAAACAAAAAAAGATAAAAAAAAAGATAGAAAAGATCGAAAAAGAAGGCTCGAAAAAAAGACAAAAAAAATAGAAAATATCGAAAAAGAAAGATCGAAAAAAGAGGATCGAAAAAAGACAGAAAAGATAGAAAAAAAGATCGAAAAAGAAGGATCGAAAAAAAAGACAAAAAGATAGAAAAAAAAAGTGAAAAAGAAGGATGGAAAGAAGATAGAAAAAAAAAGATTGAAAAAGAAGGATCGAAGAAGAAGGATCGAAAAAAAAGACAAAGAAAGGATAGAAAAAAAGATGAAAGATCGAAAAAGAAGGATCGAATAACAGACAAAATTAAAGATAAAAAAAGAGAAAAAGGATCGAGAAAAGTCAAAAAAAAAGATAGTAAAAAATATAGAAAAAGAAGGATAGAAAACAAACAAAAAAAGATAGAAAACCCAGATAAAGAAAGATTGGAGACAACCGTTTGACAGCAGTACTATTTTATTAGCAAGTAAGAAAATCAAGTAAGATTTGAAAGAAAAGTTGTTAACAGAAAAAGTCTAGTTCCCGATTTCAAGACAATTGCTCTCGCAAGTTTAAAGAAGCCGAACTTAAAAAAGTCTTTTTTTGCGGTAACTAAGCCGACAAATTAAGCAGACAGACAATATTCTAAAACAGCAGAAAATTTTCATTTTGAAAAAAAAACAGGTCCCGACTGGAAGCAAACTCCCGAACTTAGTCGTCTCAACCATGGGTGTTACAACTTGGAAGAAAACTGAACCTTCAAAAATTCGGGCTAAAAAGCCGACAAAATTAAACAGACGGACGATAGTCCGAAAAAGCACAAAAATCCACATGTGGAATTGAGCAAAGTCTTTGCAGTCTCAAGCATGTGTGTTGCCGCCAGATGTGCCGGAGGGTTGAGTAAAAATAGATTCTCACGAGCGAATTCTGTGAACAAATGTCTAGTACCCGGTTGCAACACCCTTGCTAATCACAAGGGTAAACATAACACTTCAATGGCGATACACACCATCACAATTTATAGGGAAAAAAAAGTTCGTAAATTGCAGTAAGAAGTGATTACATCAAAATGACTAACGTGTTTGAGGAAATTTTCCAGATGAAAACTTTTTTCTTTTCGCTATTTTGCTATCTTTTCTCCCTTCAGATCCGAGCGAATTGTCCACTTTCTCCCTTTCTCTATCTGACGTTCCTTCAAGGAAATTTCCGGTTCGGCTCTTCTACTTTCCCCCTCCTCTTGCATTTTTTTTTATTTTTAGCTTTTGTTCACGTTGTCCACCGGGCATAAAATTGATATATGAGTTAAATGTGAATCCAAACTTTCCAGAACAATTTTTTAAATTCCAATATCTACTTCTTATTTAAATTTGGTAAAAATAAGTATTCACATCTCAGTTTCCAAATAAAGATAATTTCGAAGAATGAAAAAAAACAGCAAACTGAAGAGTCTCATACTGATTTGCGAGTATTTCCATACTCACATTTTAACTCATATGCTCACGATATTCAATTATGAACACTTTTGCTCTCTTATACAACTTCGTAAAAAGAATGGTTACATCATAAAAATGATGCTTATTTCTGATAAAGGGGGGGGAGGGGTAGAAGAACCTCTTTATTTTTGCACCTGATGCATGTAGAACTTCCGATTGAGACCTGATGACAAACCTGTCATCGTCATCCACAGATCCCATCGACGAATCATCAATATCAACCGGCTTGTCTATAGTACAAGGATCTGGGGCGAAATATTGCCCTCGGGAAAGCCTAGGGTCTTCTGATGACATCGCAGTTTGAGACTAAGCACAACCAAATATCAAGAACAAAAAGGAAAACAAATTCTTATTTCCCGATCTAAATTCAAAATTAAATTTGGTAATTTATACATATCTTGGTTTCTTATCAACGTTAACATCAAAAATAAATTTTTGAACAAAAGGTGCTAATACAGGTTCAGAATTTTAAAAACTATTTCAACAAATTATTTTCATTAAATTTTTTCTAAGTTTTCCCTCAAATCAAACCTATTTCAGCGAAAATATTAACTCATGCGCTTGAAAAAAAAATACTTATCAGGACGCAAAGCTTCTCACCACTTGTGTCACAATTCTTTTTTCTTCAAGCGCATAATTGAAAGGTGATTGCATGCTCTGTTTTCATTCGAAATAAACAAAGTTTGAAAATTTAAAATTTCTGTATTGCACTGTTGTATGAAACAAATGCCTTTTTTTTGCTTCAATTGATGAATTAAACACATAGGCAAAGCGGAGCTTCGCATCAATTGCGATACCACAAAAAATAGCATGGCAGGCTAGCATACAGGAAAGGAAAGGAGAGCCACTAAGTCCAAAGAAAATAGAAAAATTTCCGAAGAAACCACAACCAAATATGTTGTCTGGAATGATGTTATATTTGCGAAAAACACGTCCAGAAACACATTCGACGGCGTTTGATGAAAATTCATTTTTGAGCGAGAATTGTTGACATGAAAAACTGTGAAGTATAAATCATTTGAAGTATTACCTCGAACGACTCAAAATTAGTAAGCCGCTAAAATTAAAGCCGAAATCATTTGGGCCGAAAAATTTTTTAAGTGAAAAACTTTTTAAAGGAAAATATACGAAGTCAAAAAAATAAGAATTACAAATTGCAGGAGTAAATTAAAACGTGAAAAGCTACTACACCGAAACTGCATGCTGCTAAAACACCTAAACCAACTAAGAGAAAATTGTTTACAGAAAAAAAAACTATTCTTAGCCGACAAAACATAAGCAGACAAATACTAAGCCGACAAATTTCTTTGAAACAAGTTTGGAATTTCTTGTTTGAAAAAAAAACAGGTCCTGTTAGATTCGAACTCAGGACTTTTGCGTTCCAGGCATATTCGTTGCCTGCAGACTAAATGTGCTGGAGGCGCTTTAAAATTTGAATTCATTATGACCCAAGATACCAAGTGATTCTGTGAAACAAGTTGTTAACCCAAAAAAGTCTATTTTCCAATTTGATAACGCTTGCTGATAGCAAGCGTAAAAAGATTCAACTGTGTTGATTATTTCAAATCAAATGTCAAAGCACATGGTATTATAGCGCCTCCTGTATCAATGCAACCTCCTGATTCAAAAGGTCCAAGAAAAATTGCATAAAAGTAGAATTTTCGAAAGGAGGCGAAGCGGAGCTTAGCATCACCTGCAATTTAACGCATGCATAACATTGCAAGCTAGCGAATAGAAAAAAGGCTGAAATAACGAAATCGAAAAACATGTTATGGGATTTTTTTTTTAAAAATCAGAAAAATAGTCAAGAAACACAACAAACAGTGGTTGTTGGTTCAAAAATAAAGTCTTGTTTAATGCTGGTTGTTGTGTTTCTTGGCTATTTTTCTGATATTTTAAAAAAAAATTCCCATAACATGTTTTTCTATATCGTTATTTCAGCCTTTTTTCTATTCGCTAGCTTGCAATGTTATGCATGCATTAAATTGCAGGTGATGCTAAGCTCCACCAAAAATGCGTTTATTGAGCCAAAAACAGCCGCTCATTTAGCCGAAAACAAAAAAAAATCATCAGAAATTGTTAAAATAAAAAAAATTTTGAGCAATTGATGTTTTAAACTTTGAATTTTTGCAAGACAATGTCCTTATTTTATCAATCATTTTTTATCCTTGAGGCGACAGAAACCAAGATGATTAAGCCGATAAAAAAAGCCGAAAAAAATGGGCAAATGAAGTTTTTAATTGAAACAAAATAAATAAAAAAAAGAAATATACCAAGTCAGGGCTACTGATTTTTGTTAATTACAAGAATTTATCATAAACACGAGCATCTACGACAAAAATTTTTGACCGCACAAGAAAATTCCACAATTTGGCATTTAAGCCCTCAAAACATAGGCTGACAAACAGAGATCTGGCCGGGAATATAACCCAATACCCTAGGGTACAGAGACAACCGCATTACCTCAAGGCCAATACTGGGCCAAACCGCAATACCGGGCCGAAGTAACTTCAATTTCAACTTCAAATGGAAGAAAAACTATTTAAGGGGAAACACTTGCATCATACTATCACACTACACTTCGCATCTGTAAAAAAGCTTCGAAAAAAAGAATGAAAAATATGAAAGTTTCAAACAAAGTCACAAAAATTTCAGCAAAACTTGTTGGACACAAATTATTTGCACACAACCGGAATTCAATGACAAGATTTACTATTATAGTTGAAAAGAAACGATTAAACCATAGACAAAATCCATGCTGTGGCAACTAAGCCGTCGAAAGCTAAGCAGACAAAACGAATTCAAAACACGGAGCCCTATCTTCGTAGGCATGTGCGTAAATACTGGGCCACATGAGCGGATTAACGCCTTGATGTAGATTTTAAAAGGACAAAGGTATCAATGATTCAAATCACTGTTTGAAAACAAATTATTTTAAAACAAGTTAATTTAATTTTAATCAATTTTGTTTTGAAAAGATAACAGTGGTCAAAACATTTCGGGATAACTGCTGAGTTCTTAAGGTTCTTCGAATAAATAGGTCTTCAATGCCTTCGAACTAGCGGTACACCGAAGCAGCGTAAAAGCTGTAGTTTGAGATTCCTCTGTCAAAACTAAATGATCTTAGGAACAAAATTGTCTCCTCGTTGACCATTGATATCTGAACTAGAAAAAGTTGACCATTGATATCTGAACTTACTTCAAAAAAAACTGAAGCTAATTTAAAAGGAGACACGATACCGAAAACAGTAACCGGTTTTTGCAAACAGTTATCAGAGCAAAAAAAAAAATGAAAAAGTGTTTCACAAAACGATTTGACTTATTAATAAGGATAGCCGGTTACTGTGCAAGTAGCACAGAATGTTCCGACAATAGTCTGAAAAAGATACAACAGAAAAAAATTTCAAATTGGTGTCGTTTTTTTTCGACGCGGTGTGATAAAAAAAAGCTGAACGAAAAAAGAGAGACTAGGCATATTCGCCAGTCATAGCAAAATAATTAAACTGAAAAACACATTCTGTAGAAAAATTACTAGAAAAACGAAACAAAAATTCAAAAACTGTTTCAAACTTTTTGCAAAAAGGCGCTAAAATAGTAAAAAAACTAACGTTACTCGAGTAAAAAATTTTTAAGTTTTAAATTAAGCTATTGTAAGCTTTTAAGCCATTACGACAAGCTTTTGTAAGCCTGCTCGTTCGCTCGAATTAAAACGAAAAACCAAAAATTTCAAACCGTTTTTTCTCAACCGTTTTGGGAAATATTTAATGTCGTTCAAATCACAACTGTAAGGGCTTTAACATGATATGTCACTCAAACCTCTCCGATGATTATTTGTGGTAGTTGCTTTTGCGTGAAAAACAACACAAATAGAACACCCGATTTCTGTTTTTTTTAATGGAAGAAAGAAGATCACAAATGTAGAGATTATGACATGCCTCTCTAACATATCAACCGTTCTTGTGATACAATACAATAAATAGATACAATTTGTTGAGCAAACGGGTCTAATATGGCTTGTAATTGGGTCCTACTATACTCAGTAACTTTGCCTGAATTAGAATTCGTTGTGTTCCCATACGCTTGTAACGCACCTATCAAATCATAAATCTACCGATGTGCGTTACAAAGAGGATAACGACAACGCAAAAATTTAGTTTCAAGGAAACAAAAACAGCAGCTATTTATTGAGCCAAGACATAAGAATATAAATCCATCAGCTGGTCAATGATCTTGTCAATGGTCCAGGTCAAAACAATTCGTGAACTTTACTGAAAATTTACCAACTCCCTAATCTTATACAACACACTTGGTAATAATCATTTTGCTTTGCTAGTTAGGTTGAAAAAAAAAGAAAGTTCGTACTAATACACTACACTCGCAAGTTTAATCAGTGTTTTATCAATTAGGAATTTATTTTAACAGTCGAATGCTGACGATTTATGGAAAAACTTGGCCCATGTGAACACTATCCCACTAATCAGGCCAAGTGAACAACCTCCCGCCTAAAAAATAATTGGCAAATTCAAGATATACGGACTGGACTGTATGTACTATGCTCAAATCTGATTAACTGAAACATTTTAATTTAATCGAGTGATTTCTCTCCCCCCTAATCTAATTAAGTGTGGATTGTTCTCTTGGTCCAAAATTTTAAACCAATTTATCAAAAACAACGTTTCCATGAAAAATCTAGCACAAAATTATTTTCCCTTAAAAATAGTAGGGTTCAATTTGGACACAGATGCTATGCAGAGCTTCGGACCACTTGCGACACAAAACAAGAGAGCCGCTAAATTGAAAAAAAAAATCAAAAATGTCGAAAAAACTAGATCTATCGAAATGAGTAAGGCTAGTTTTGGAACAAAAACATGTTTTGGAACAAAAATATGGGAAGGTATTTTCGGTAAAATTCAAATATTTTAAGAAAACCCTAAAAAAATCAAACAGATTTTTCCGAGGACGATAACTTTTTGTGTTAAAAAAATTCAGAGTGGCCCTTAATGCAGAGGAGCTTCTCACTACCCTTTATCTCCATGGAACCCACAACATCAGCTTTGGGAGGTTAGTTTTCGTGAAAAGTCTAAAGATTCCGAGGGCCATTATTTTATACAAAAGTTTGGGCGTAGCTGCTTAAGGAGTTGAGCTTTCCAAATCGGCTCTATTCATAGAACAGAGCATCTCAGATTTAGTATGCTACTTTTTGAGAAAACGAAAAAAAATTAAAAATTATCGGTCAAATATTCCCCCACAGATTTTTCCGAAGGCTGTAGACAAAATAGTAAAGCAAAAAAGACCAGGGGAGTATGAAGGCACAGGATGGTGAAGGCGGTCTTTCTATGCATACCACTTTTTTGAAAATCGGTATAAGGGTTTTCGAGGAAAAAAAACTAAATTTTTTGCAAAGCGTCTAAAAAAAATTAAAAACCCGATCCCAAGAATTTTCATACTACCTGTTTTATCGAACAAGAATTCTAGGCAAACATGCCAAGCAAGATATTTGGAATTCAAAACAGAGACTGAATAATTTTACGTAGCGGAAACAAGGCCGATTTAATATTTGTGACACGAAAACCGTCTAATGGCCAGAACTTCTAGAGATAACTTTGATCAATATCAGAATATTTCAGTTTGGGTGTTTCTCAGTTTAGCGCCCCCCCCCTCGGCCTAGTAACATTAAATATATAGCCCCCACAACCACATACTGTGAATTAACTATTATGGAGGGGGCTATATTTTGCTGGGGGTTCCAATAGGCAAGTAAACTTGCCTTTCTAAATTCTATCAAGTTGCAGGCAACTCACATCCTTACATAAAAAACTTTTCTTGTTTTTATTTAGCCACTTATTTGAAATTACCTCATGTAATCATAAATAACTTACCGGTCCTGTTTTGCCACTTCTTTCGTTATTGGCATGTTCGAATTCCCTTTTCGCTTTCTTGAATTTCTTCTCGGAGGGACATGCAGTCGAATCTTCCGAACTACCCTGTTTAAATGATTATGCAAGCTATAAATATTATTTGGTTTCATTTTGAAGCAACTTTACTGATTCTCTCCAAGCATTTTTAAATCAGAAGTAGTAGAAAAAACTCCTAATATTTGTTTGAAATTAGCAATGAACTCAAAAAAATGAACCAAATGAGCGAGTTTTCAAAAACTTGCTCTTTCGGTTTGCGGAGAACGCTATAATGGACAATTCCTGGTGGAGTCAAAAACTTTCTCGAACAACTTTTTAAGCACCTGTTTAAACTAGTAGTTATTTTTTCATTGCATAATAATTTGTAGCTCACAGCAGTGTCTGTTGATTGAGAGAACGAAGTTACAGACTTGGAAGGCGTTGAGAAAATTATCGGCGATTCTGATCTCGATCTGGGCGTTTTAGAGACAGAAGGTGAAGCAGCGTGTTTTTTCTTTATTTTTTGCGACTTCTTGTGCAACTAGATGGATGTATGTTACAATAGACAACAAAAGCTACCGATAATTAAAGATTTTTTTGAACATTAAAAAAAAAATTTCGATCCAATTCCTTCAATTGCTGATTTAAAAGTTTGTTAGGTCCAATGAAGACATTTGTATAAAAAAATCATAATAATAACTTGTAAAGAATGCTGATACATATTTTTTGATACGCTTCAATCAGCAAAACTGTTCGATTAAAGGACTATCAAACGAGCTTATTAGCTCATTCGGTAAACCGCTGATGTTTCCCTTTAATGAAAGAGTTATGATCATTTTTTCAAGTTATTTTTCTATGCTAGTAAATGTTTCCTGGGCTGCAAAATTTTGCTAGGAGTATGGATCAAGGTGGGTCTCGAGCCAGCGACCTTTCGACTACGAGTCTGAAATCTAAAATTGATTGCCGTTATACTTCTAAATTTGCCAAGAAAAGAACAACTTGCCAAACCTTGGCATTACTATTGCATAATGCGAAGGTAGTGAACACGTGATTTTTTCTTTCTGCAGGCTTATTTGCCCTCATTTGCCTTGATGTGACAAAAGCAAATTTGGATTATCCTTAACCATCTCTCCGCTCTTTGTAAAATATTTTGTCATATCAAGAAAAAATGAGCGCAATGTCAACCACTAACCCTGTAAAAGTACGAAAACAGGAATTCTTTATTTACACAGAACCAAGTTCCTTTTTTATACGCAAGCAAAATTACCACTTGAAAAGCTAGCAAAAACTAGGTTTCTGTGCTTTCATGCGGTGTCATCGCTTTGCCATGTTTTCGTGAATTAACACCCAAAAACTTGATAATTTAAAACTTTGAGTTTTGATAAAAAATTTTAACACAGGCGAAGCAAAGCTATGTACAAAAATTTGTCTCGACTTATGTTCAATTTCAGGCAAATTATTGAGAAACGCAATGGGTTAAACCATACAAGGACCAGTTGCCAGGTAATACATGGATAGACGCCCGTTGAGCCGAAAAGAAAACTGAACTAAAAAAAGCACGTTGTCATCGAAAAACTTCGAACTATAAGAAGCCACACTTGAATTAAACCCAACCCCTCCGTTTATTGTTCGTGGCGAGATGTAAAAATCTCAACCACAGCCTAGAACTTCGATTATAGCAACTTACGTTCATTTTTCCTCATCAAACAACCAGAAAAACAAAATATTACACAGAAGCGAAGCTGCGCTTCGCAAACACTAACAAGAACACGACAAAAGCATCTCTATGAAGTTCAATAAGAGAAAGTATTCTTATTCGATCTGCGACCTAGAGATTATAAGGCCACGCAAAAACCACTAAACCACGGAAGCCTAACAAACCACAAAAATTAGCCTCAAATAAAGCAAAGATACTAAAATTGTCCAATGCTACATATCGTGATTATAGCACAAAAAATCACCAAACAAAAGAACAATTTAAATTGGGCATTAGGTTTAGAATGAAAAGAAGGTTCCTAGTTATACTCTCGCAAGTGTAATAAAGACCAAGGTTAGAATAAATAGAACATTCCTACTTACACACTCGCAAGTCTAGCAAAGAGCACGGTTAGAATAAAAAGAAGGTTCTTACTTAACTTATACACTTGCAAGTATAATAAAGTGCAAAGTTAGATTAAGAGAAGGCACACATACTACTGCTTCTTACTTATATACTCGTAAGTGTTATAAAGTGCAACGTTAGAATAAAACGAAGGTTCCTACTTATACACTCGAAGTGTAATAAAGTGCACGTTTATAATAAAAAGAAGGTTCTTACTTATGCACTTTCAAGTGTAATTAAGTGCCAGGTTAGAATTAAAAGAAGGTTCCTACTTATACACTCGCAAGTGTAAAAAAAAGTGCAAGGTTAGAATAAAAAGAAGGTTCTTACTTATACACTTGCAAGTGTAATAAACTGAAGAGGTTTTAATATCGAAAAAACTGACTCGTAAGTGTTATAAAGTGCAACGTTAGAATAAAACGAAGGTTCCTACTTATACACTCGCAAGTGTAAAAAAGTGCAAGGTTAGAATACAAAGAAGGTTCTCACTTATACACTTGCAAGTGTACTAAAGTGCAAGGTTAGAATAAAAAGAAGGTTCTTACTTATACACTTGCAGGTGTAATAAACTGAAGAGGTTTTAATATCGAAAAAACTGACTCGTAAGTGTTATAAAGTGCAACTTTAGAATAAAACGAAGTTTCCTACTTATACACTCGCAAGTGTAAAAAAAGTGCAAGGTTAGAATAAAAAGAAGGTTCTTACTTATACACTTGCAAGTGTAATAAACTGAAGAGGTTTTAATATCGAAAAAACTGACTCGTAAGTGTTATAAAGTGCAACGTTAGAATAAAACGAAGGTTTCGACTTATACACTCGCAAGTGTAATAAAGTGTAAGGTTAGAATAAAAAGAAGGTTGCTACTTATACACTCGTACACTCGCAAGAGTAAAAAAAGTGCAAGGTTAGAATGAAAAGAAGGTTCTTACTTATACACTTGTAAGTGTAATAAAGTACAAGATTGAAATACAAAAGGTTCCTACTTATACACTTGAAAGTGTAATAAAGTGCAAGGTTGGAGTAAAAAAAAATATTCACACTTATACACTCGCAAGTGTAATAAAGTGTAAGGTTAGAATAGAAGGAAGGTTCCTATTTACAAACTCGCAAGTGTAATGAAGTGCAAGGTTAGAATAAAACGAAGGCGCTTACTTATACACTTGCAAGTGTAATAAACTGAAGAGGTTTTAATATCGAAAAAAAACTGACTCGTAAGTGTTATAAAGTGCAACGATAGAATAAAACGAAGGTTCCTACTTTACACTCGCAAGTGTAAAAAAAGTGCAAGGTTAGAATACAAAGAAGGTTCTCACTCATACACTTGCAAGTGTAAAAAAATGCAACGTTAGAATAAAAAGCAGGTTCCGACTTATACACTCGCAAGTGTAATAAAAGTGTAAGGTTAAGTAAAAAGAAGGTTGCTACTTATACACTCGTACACTCGCATGAGTAAAAAAAAGTGCAAGGTTAAAATGAAAAGAAGGTTCTTACTTATACACTTGTAAGTGTAATAAAGTACAAAATGGAAAAAAAAGGTTCCTACTTATACACTTGCAAGTGTAATAAAGTGCAAGGTTGGAGTTAAAAAAAGTTCACACTTATACACTCGCAAGTGTAATAAAGTGTAAGGTTAGAATAAAAAGAAGGTTCCTATTTACAAACTCGCAAGTGTAATGAAGTGCAAGGTTAGAATAAAACGAAGGTTCTTACTTATACACTTGCAAGTGTAATAAACTGAAGAGGTTTTAATATCGAAAAAAAACAGACTCGTAAGTGTTAAAATGTGCAACGTTAGAATAAAACGAAGGTTCCTACTTTCACACTCGCAAGTGTACAAAAAGTGCAAGGTTAGAATACAAAGAAGGTTCTTACTTATACACTTGCAAGTGTAATAAAAAGCAACGTTAGAATAAAAAGCAGGTTCCGACTTATACACTCGCAAGTGTAATAAAGTGTAAGGTTAGAATAAAAAGAAGGTTCCTACTTATACACTCGCAAGTGTAAAAAAAGTGCAAGGTTAGAATGAAAAGAAGGTTCTTACTTATACACTTGTAAGTGTAATAAAGTACAAGATTGAAATAAAAAAGGTTCCTACTTATACACTTGCAAGTCTAATAAAGTGCAAGGTTGGAGTAAAAAAATGTTCACACTTATACACTCGCAAGTGTGATAAAGTTTAAGGTTAGAATAAAAAGAAGGTTCCTATATACAAACTCGCAAGTGTAATGAAGTGCAAGGTTAGAATAAAACGAAGGTTCCTACTTATACACTCGCAAGTGTACTAAAGTGCAAGGTTGGTAGAAAAAAAATTCCTACTTATACAATCGCAAGTAACAAAGTGCACGGTTAGAATGAAAAGAAGGTTATTACTTATACACTTGTAAGTGTAATAAAGTACAAGATTGAAATAAAAAAAGGTTCCCTCTTATACACTCGCAGGTGTAATAAAGTGCAAGGTTAGAACAAAAAGAAGGTTCCTGCTTAAACACTTGCAAGTGTAAAAAAAATTATTGGAGTAAACTAAGTTTTCACGATTGAATTTGATTTATCAGCGTTCTATTAGACGTCTTTGTGAACTTATTATAAGCCTACTCGCTCGCTTTAATAGCTCGAAATTGAACTAAAACTCAAAAAACTATAAACCAGTTTTTTCCGATACTGAGGCAACTTTTGAAAACTTTTTGATGTCGTTCGAAAAAGAACTGAAGAGGTTTCAATTTGATATATCACTTAACCATTCCGCACATATTACCCATTCCGATGATTAATTGTGGTGCCTGATTTTGCGTGGAAAAAAAACACACCCGAGTACAAAGTTCCTCCCCACTTTCAGCGGTTGGAACAACGAGATCCGGTCAGGATTCCAACTCCACACCATAGGATATCAAAGCACGCTCTTTACCACTAGACTTAGTAAGAATGGTTCTAAAAGTTCCATAATACAGCAAGCACAACTTCGTACAGATTTTCTCTTTTTTTGTATCGCCTTTTCTTTTTTTTCTTTTTACAAAACTTGAAATGCTGTCTATGTAACATACTACTGCTTCAACAGGGGGTTCTACATTCGTCTCCATATCAGAAAGATCACTATTTTCCATTGTAGAATTTCACAATGATATCTGAAAGCGTATCAGCACTAACTTTGATCACTATTGGAAAAGACATACCTGCATCCATTCATCTGATTACTTGTTTAGAACCTGATTTGTAGTTGATTATAATTGATGACAAAATTTAGCAAAATCCTTTTCGGTCACTGAATCCGACAAAGTTAATTAACCTAAGATTGATCACTTCGACGTCAGATTCAATTTTCCTTAGCCGTAGTAAGCGATGCATAGCCTTGCTATATCAAAAAATCTTCTCATCTGATGGTGACCAGTCAATAAGCAGAATGGTCTAAGAGCAGAATGGGTCCAAGAGCAGAAAAATGGCAACTTTTATGAGCTAATAGGTAAATTAATTCTCAGAAATGTCAATAATACCAAAGCAACGAACATTTTATGCATAATTTGAGTAATTTCAACCAGAATTTTAAAAAAATTAGTCAAAAAACTTAATGAAACTAATGCATTTATTCGTTTTCTTGGTATCTTTTGACGATTCTAATAATTGTTTTATCAATTAGCCCGTATAAACCAATATAAATTCAAATTTTTCTGTTTCTGCTCTTGGACCATTCTGCTTTTTGCTCCGCCTCTTAAATTTTAGGTTTGCAGACACTAAGTGGAAAAAATTGGCTCTATGAACGCTCCGAACATATTGAGGGGTCTGTTTACTTATTTCTCGTAAACTTTCAAATTTTGCAATTTTTTAGTAATCATTTTATTAACACAGCAAAACACAGACCTCACTGATTCGTTTTGTTAATACAAATTCGATCGTTTTAATTTTAAGCCAATTTCCAACAAAGCGGAATTTTGAGATGTTTGGCATTTATTTCTGCATCTATTTTTTTTCCTGGTCTGGGATAAAATCTGCAGTTTTATTTATCAAATTGGAATAGTTTTCAAAGTAATTATTATTTTTGGCTAAGCAAAATGAAGCTTAATTGTTTCAGTTCAAGATTTGAACTATTAATTTAAGCGGAATAAAAAAAACGCCCGTATTAAGAATTTTCAACTAAGTCAACTTTTACCGCTTGCTCCACCCTAAAATTTCATTCTTTTGGATGAGCTCCTCCTCTTAACCCGTTACCTACATGTTTAAACTATTCGTGTTCCGTCCATTCTTGATATAAAGGGAACAGACCACTAGTGGGTATTCAGGGGAAGAAGGGGCAATTTGACATCTCGCCACTTAAAAGGTCGCCCCTGTGGTACTTATTCGTGACATCTATTACCCCAAAAACTGAGTCAAATTGCCCCTTCAGAGCCAATATATACTAATTTTGAGGGGGAGCGCGCGCCTATAAAACGCAGTATTTTGGTCAAAGCATTCCAAAATTCATCTGAAAACGTCTCTTTCCCCTGTTTTTTTTGACAAATATACTTTGGAGTGATACAAGCTCAGAAAATCAATTTAGTCGATCTGAAAAAAAACAAGGTCGACAACAAATCTCAAGTATTATCTCAAGTACTAATTACCTTCTCACTCAGATTTCAAAATTCACTGATTTTTGTTACCAACACGAACAGCATTCTCTTTTTTTTACTTTTATTTCTCCATGAAAAAAAGGCTTCACCAGCAACGTAATGAGAGATAAATCGTACTTAAATTTGTTCGGTCGTGATTCGACCGAGGCTCAGAAAAATTCCAATTTTTTTCTGTCTCGAGAAAAATTGGTTCATTCATTCATGGTTTTCTTTCGACACCTTTTCATCACTCAAAGGTGGTCTGTTCTCAATAGAAATGTTGTCGAAACAAAGGGAACTTTATATTTTTCCTAAATTGAGATTTTTTACTGGGTGAAATTTATTGCTTATATTTTTGCCCACGATTTAAAAAAAAGATTACTCTTCAAAATGATTCAATGTAAGCTCATCGTGTTTTTATTCGTTGATAAATCCAATGGTAGTTTGGTTTATGTTAACTTTTAGTTCCTCCTCTCAAAAAAACTACAAAATTCCCACACGCACAATAATTAAGAAAAAAATGAACAATGAGGCGACGCTGCGCTTCGCAAACACTTGCGAGAACACGACCAAAAAGCAGCTCTAGAAAAAGCAAAAAGAAAAAATATAAATAAGCCTCGAATTAGCAAAAGCTCGATCTGGAGCAACTGCAATCAAAAGATTTTGAGTCTCACGCACTAACCACTCAGCCACACACGCTTAACCACCGACAAACACTAAGTCACGAATAAAGCAGCTACATATGCTAAATTGCCAATGCCATTCAGCAAAGTGGTCTCAAATACAAATAGACTCAATTTTGCAAGTAATAATCTGGATTATAACACACTGAGGACATCCACACCTACTTTGCATGTAACAAATAGCAAAACATAGAGCCAAAGTATGTATAAATTATGCATTTGAAAACATTGTGAGATATTACAAATGCATCAACTGTGTTAACTTACTACTATTCGAATGACAAAGCCCATGCTATGAAAAAGCTGTAAAATTGCCCTAAAAGTGGTACCAATTTTTGCTACTTGGGTTGGCAAAAAAGAAGGTTCGCAATAAAACACTCGCTTCCCAAGTGTAAATAACTGTGGTCGGAACATTCTGCGCTACTTGTTTCGGCCTTTTCACGAAGTGGAAAGAAACTATGGTGTAGGGTGTTTTTTTCTCAGCCCGATTTAAGCACCTCAAGGAAAGCACGCATCGAGTTTTGAAAAGTTTTCATATTGGAGCCCTAGTGATATTGATATGAGCCCCCACGCCCAAAAAAAAACAAAAAAACTGTCGAGAAAAAAGTATGAAATTTTCAGTTTTTCAGATCAATTTACATGAAGCAAGAATGGACGAAAGGTTTGCAAGGTCAACTCCTTTGGTAAATCTCCTCCAATTTCGAACTTATTTAAGCTTAAATTTTTAAACATTTAATTTTCTTGGATTTGTGTGGTCGGAACATTCTATGCTACCTGCACATCATTCGACTATCACTTTGCCAGTTAGCTGAAAGAAGAGAAAAAAAGACTATGAAAGACTAAATTTACAGAAAACCGTATAAAAAGATTTACTAAACAGTATTTACAGAAATGATGATATGACTCATAGCAATCCTCAAGTGTAAATACAACATACTGGTATGCAATTTGATAAGCATCAAACAGTTATATCAAAATAAGGTAATAGAAAAGGGCCAATGATAGTTTCATTTGACTATTATGCTAAAAAAAACTATCGACCGAATGATTGGTCATTTATTTTAAAATAAGATCAAATGAAATCGAAAGTTGCTGGAGGCAATAATGCTAGATATTCTTCAGCTATTTCAAAGCGATCAAAAACTTTTTATCCAGTCACAATACTGAAAAATTGCGCATAAAATGTGTTAGTTTCATTTAATATCAAACTTTGAAAAATCATGAAAATTTAAGATAGAAAGCGCGATAGATATTCATTACGACAAAAGCATTGATTATGTTCTATTTGATGAACAATCGGCACACAGTCGCCAACAGCAGAACCACCAGAGTTGGTTTCAACTTGTAATCAACGTCAGGTACATCTGCGAAATAGTAGTATCTCATATATCCGAGTTGCCTGTTCACAGAAATACGATATTCCGCATTCACTTTCTCCTCTCGCTGGCAATTGGCCACAGCGAAGAACACTTCGCAAGGGTATGACACAGATATACGTTCATCAAGGTCCGGCAGCTGGATTGAAGCCAGGTTCGCCGGTGGATAGGAGAACTGGATTGGCAGGCTGAAGTCGAACACCACTCTCACTCGTCCCAATCTTATTGACCTCTGGGTGCACTTTTCGTTAGAGGTATCATCTAGCAGCGGGATTTTCTCAGCATCTTCTAGAATCTGCATCCGTTCTTGACATTCCTAAAGATACTTCAGTGAAAGCATTGCAGAAAGGAATACAAAAAGTAACTTGTGATTTTTATAACTTGTATCAACAGAAAATCCATTGAAAATAAACCGAGATTATCTAAAACATAGAAAAAATTACACTACTAGAAAAAAAAGAAACAATTACGAGAAAAAAACTCAAGCCCGTTCAGACAGGTAAAAGAATCTGTGCAAACCTGCGGGATTTTTCAAACTTCTACAGAATCGAAATAAAACGTACGAAAATCAGCGAACAAAAAAACTGAAAAGAGACGTGTAGAAACTAATCCGACAATGTTTCGACCGAAACAATAAAGCAAAAAACCAAGCTCTCAAAAATAGCATTAGTTATAAACGTGTTCAAAAAGAAGATCTATGTCCAAGAATGAATTGGGAAGCTTTTCGCATAACTTGTACGCATCAAATAAACCTAGCTTTAGCTACAAACCTAGACACAGAGGCGAATCCGAGCTTCGCGACACTTGCGATACAATGCAAAACAGCCACTAAATTGAAAGAAAAAATCAAAAATACCGAAGTTTTTCAAATTATTTAAAAAAAAATACCAAAAAACTCGCACCAAGACAAAAGAAGGTAAAAAAAATCATAAACTTTACTTAGCTGTAAGCAAGCGAAAAATACCTGAGAGAAACCCTTTAAGTCGAGAAAACTCAAAAAAATTAAAATTAGTCAAAAATGTTTATCTCCCATTTCCCCTCAATACACAAGTAAACCGAAACTGGAAAAGAAAAAATCACCAGAAAGGAAAAAAATTTAAAACAAAATGATATTTAAAAAAAGTTAGAACCAAACTAAAAGGCAAATTTAGACAAGTGGTGATTTTACTGAATGCAAATTGATGTTTTAACGTCTTTCGTTTTACTTTACCGTATTAAATACTGCACGCTTATGCTTATAATTTTGCTGTCTCAAACGAACTCCAGCTTTCCATACCTGGAATTTTTCTGGCATGGCCCATCAGCGATTACTTGGAAAGGTTATTGGGCTCCGAAATTGCACTTAGTAGTTATCGCGAAAGCATAGATTTTTATTGAAGATCTCATGGAAGAAAAAAAGTTTTCCAGATGACCAGATCCTACACTTGAGGAGCCAGCGCAAGTTAGACGAAGCGGCAGCCAGAGGCGAAAAAGAATAGCGAAGCCATGCAGCATTTTCAATGTAGGTAGAAAATGCTTTTTTGTTACATTTGTTTTTCTAATTCAGTGTTTTGGTTCAAGGTTTTTGTTTCAACTCAAATCAAAACCAATGTTGCAACAAGTCAAAGCTGTTCAGTTGCAAAAAGTTTTTTTATTTTTTCATGATTAATTACTTGCCTTTGAAAATTTTTCCAGTTCGGGAGGCTTTTTCAGCTGACGACAAAAAAAACTGAGACTGATAAAATCCAAAATTTGACGAAACAGATGAACATGCTAAATCTACTGATATTTGTGGTGTAAACTTGTAATCTACTTATCTTATCATTCATGAGGTTATTACTCTATTACATAACGTAAATTTCAAACGTTTTCGCAACTATGTGCATCGTCAAGATTTTTACAATAAACTACTCTAAATGACGATAAAACATCAATTTACAAATGTTATTTACAATAAATCACATACAATTTGGTTCTAAACCATCATGATAAAAAATTAGCCAATCACAGTTGACCTCTAAATTACTATTAAGATTAAAATACTTTTAACCTCTAAAATTAATTAAACATTTTAAAATTAATTTGTCTGGAAGTTTCTGAGTCTTAATTTCGATTTAGACATGTACGTTTTGAATAAAGAACCAAAAATATTTTGGGACTAAATTTTCAGAGTTAACACTGAAAATTTAGTCCCAAAATATTTTTGGTTTTTTTTTCAAAACGTACATGTCTAAATCGAAATTATGACTCAGAAACTTCCAGACAAATTAATTTTAAAATGTTTAATTAATTTTAGAGGTTAAAAGTATTTTAATCTTAATAGTAATTTAGAGGTCAACTGTGATTGGCTAATTTTTTATCATGATGGTTTAGAACCAAACTGTATGTGAATTATTGTAAATAACATTTGTAAATTGATGTTTTATCGCCATTTAGAGTAGTTTGTTGTCAAAATCCTGACGATGCACATAGTTGCGAAAACGTTTGAAATTTACTTTTTAGCAAAAATTTCTTCAATTTTACTTGTAAATTCGTGATAAACCAAAAAGCGAAGAGCTTGAAATTCCAACTGTTTTCCCATTAAAGGGCCAGTATAAAAATTTTTAATGATTTTCATCAATGAATAGAGAATTTTTATAGTGTTTTTTTATCGATACGTAAAATATGGCCGATTTTTATTTGAGTTAACGAAAAGTTTCATATTGTAGCAGCTAGCTCCCTGTTCCACAGCATCCCAGCCGGTGTCGAGGAGCTGACAAACTATTTGAAGTCGAAGAAGCAGCAGATATTGGCGATCGTTTATTGCAGAAGAGAAGGAACGCCCGACTTGTTTAGTCAGCTTCTCGGCACAAGGGTGCTCATTATTCCAGCTACAAAACGGCTACTCTCCAAGAGCAAGCAAAACGACCCGGAGCAGCCCAAGGAATATCTGAAGCTGCACCAGAGTGCTGATTTGGAGCTGAAATCTCTACGAGTGGTAGTGGCACACAAAGAAAGGCTGTCAGAGCTGATTGGCAATATCAGGGGCAAACAACAGAGACCATCACAGACAACGAGGAAGGCGAAAGCAAGACGTGAGCAGAAGCTGAAGGCAGAGGAAGTGTCTGCGCTTCAAAGACAGGGGTGAGAAGAGCGTGATTTGTTTTGCTTTGTGCCTTGTGAGTTTCATTACACGTGGCCTGCAAAACAATGACCACAGTACTTTTGCCTGCTGTTTGGCTCAGACAAATTTTAAAAAGAAAACTAACTTGGAAAATTGTGTTAGACTATTTAAAATTCTTTAAAAAAGTTCAAGTATCTGTACATAGACTGAAGTTTCCGAGAAAATGTCTGAAAAACGATCTAATACCGGACTTTTTGAAGTTTAGGGTCCCCGAGAACGGGGTTTTTTCGGACCAAGCTGTGCATCATTTTCAATTAAAACTACTAAGGACTGAAACTTCTAGGGCAAATGACGATAGGAAAAGGTACGAGGAGATGCTAAGGAAAGCAAGATCACTGGTGCAAAAAGAAATTGACAAACAGTGGTGGGCATCCATTTTCCGATTCGTGAGGCGTCAAGTTGAGGCAAGCTTAAAGACAACATCAGAAAACCATTAAAAAAATTTAGAAAAACTGTCCGAGAGACAAGATAAACCTCTTGGGGGGAGAAATGAGCGATCAGTTAAGGTACTTGATAATTTTGAACTGCCTGAATGGGTATATGAAGTGCTATCAATGGGCCCCAAGCACGAAACACATTTTTTGGCGGATATCGACATTTTCCTCTCACAACTGAAAAATCAAAAAACATCTGGTGAAACGTTATGTGAAATAGAAGCCGCGGCAAAGGCATATGCAAAAAACGTACGGCAAACCCCAAGAGACAAAGCCGTTCAAAAAACGAGGAAATATCTCAAAAACAATGGGTTGCTGGCTGTGCCTTTTGATAAGGGGGTTGGTTTTTGCATAATGAGGAATCAAACATATGAATCAAAGCTGGAATCCTTGATGCAATCTGCTCAGTTTGTGAAAAAAGATGCAACCACTGATGAGGTGATACTGAAAATTGAGAAGGAACTTAACAAAGAGTTACTAGCCATAAACAAAAGAGACGAGATAAGTGATCAGTTATATTCTAAGATGAGATCAACAGGGGGGCAACCCGCCCGTTTGTACGGTTTAGCTAAGGTACACAAGGAGGAGACACCCCTACGACCTGTACTATCACTTCCCGGCAGCTCGTATGAGAATCTTAACAAAATGCTTGCAAAGTTTTTTGACAACATCGATGGAGCAAATATAGAAACCAATACTAAAGAGGCTAGAGAAAAAATAAGAAAACATTGCTCTAGATCCGGATGAAACCATAATATCTCTTGATGTGAAAAGTCTGTACACCAACGTTCCCCTGAAGGAGGCAATTGAAATTGTTTTACAGAAGCTGTACAGCCAGGAGTCTCCTCCTGAAATTCAAAGAGCAACCATGAAAAGTCTTTTGAAAATGGCGGTCAGCAAAGTATATTTCAAGTTTAATGATTCATGGTATGTACACGTTGATGGTTTAGCAATGGGCGCGTCCCTCGCTGTAATTCTGGCAAACTTATGGCTGAAAGAATACGAATTTGCTCTACGACAACAAATACCGGTGGGAACGGGGTTACAGCAAATTAATGACAAAAACGGCTTGTGCCCATGTTGCAGCAGGAAAGTCACATATAGATCAAAGGGGGTTGAAAGCTCTTGGACCATTCTGCTTTTTGCTCCGCCTCTTAAATTTTAGGTTCGCAGACACTAAGTGGAAAAAATTGGCTCTATGAACGCTCCGAACATATTGAGGGGTCTGTTTACTTATTTCTCGTAAACTTTCAAATTTTGCAATTTTTTAGTAATCATTTTATTAACACAGCAAAACACAGACCTCACTGATTCGTTTTGTTAATACAAATTCGATCGTTTTAATTTTAAGCCAATTTCCAACAAAGCGGAATTTTGAGATGTTTGGCATTTATTTCTGCATCTATTCTTTTTCCTGGTCTGGGATAAAATCTGCAGTTTTATTTATCAAATTGGAATAGTTTTCAAAGTAATTATTATTTTTGGCTAAGCAAAATGAAGCTTAATTGTTTCAGTTCAAGATTTGAACTATTAATTTAAGCGGAATAAAAAAAACGCCCGTATTAAGAATTTTCAACTAAGTCAAACTTGTACCGCTTGCTCCACCCTAAAATTTCATTCTTTTGGATGAGCTCCTCCTCTTAACCCGTTACCTACATGTTTAAACTATTCGTGTTCCGTCTATTCTTGATATAAAGGGAACAGACCAGTAGTGGTTATTCAGGGGAAGAAGGGGCAATTTGACATCTCGCCACTTAAAAGGTCGCCCCTGTGGTACTTATTCGGGACATCTATTACCCCAAAAACTGAGTCAAATTGCCCCTTCAGAGCCAATATATACTAATTTTGAGGGGGAGCGCGCGCCTATAAAACGCAGTGTTTTGGTCAAAGCATTCCAAAATTCATCTGAAAACGTCTCTTTCCCCTGTTTTTTTGACAAATATACTTTGGAGTGATACAAGCTCAGAAAATCAATTTAGTCGATCTGAAAAACAAGGTCGACAACAAATTTCAAGTATTATCTCAAGTACTAATTACCTTCTCACTCAGATTTCAAAATTCACTAATTTTTGTTACCAACACGAACAGCATTCTGTCTTTTTTACTTTTATTTCTCCATGAAAAAAGGCTTCACCAGCAACGTAATGAGAGATAAATCGTACTTGAATTTGTTCGGTCGTGATTCGACCGAGGCTCAAAAAAATTCCAATTTTTTTCTGTTTCGAGAAAAATTGGTTCATTCATTCATGGTTTTCTTTCGACACCTTTTCATCACTCAAAGGTGGTCTGTTCTCAATAGAAATGTTGTCGAAACAAAGGGAACTTTATATTTTTCCTAAATTGAGATTTTTTACTGGGTGAAATTTATTGCTTATATTTTTGCCCACAATTTAAAAAAAAGATTACTCTTCAAAATGATTCAAGGTAAGCTCATCGTGTTTTTATTCGTTGATAAATCCAATGGTAGTTTGGTTTATGTTAACTTTTAGTTCCTCCTCTCAAAAAAACGACAAAATTCCCACACGCACAATAATTAAGAAAAAAATGAACAATGAGGCGACGCTGCGCTTCGCAAACACTTGCGAGAACACGACCAAAGAGTAGCTCTAGAAAAAGCAAAAAGAAAAAATATAAATAAGCCTCGAAGTAGCAAAAGCTCGATCTGGAGCAACTGCAATCAAAAGATTTAGAGTCTCACGCACTAACCACTCAGCCACACACGCTTAACCACCGACAAACACTAAGTCACGAATAAAGCAGCTACATATGCTAAATTGCCAATGCCATTCAGCATAGTGGTCTCAAATACAAATAGACTCAATTTTGCAAGTAATAATCTGGATTATAACACACTGAGGGCATCCACATCTACTTTGCATGTAACAAATAGCAAAACATAGAGCCACAGTATGTATAAATTATGCATTTCAAAACATTGTGAGATATTAAAAATGCATCAACTGTGTTAACTTACTACTATTCGAATGACAAAGCCCATGCTATGAAAAAGCTGTAAAGT